ATATATTTATTTAAAAGTTTATTTTTTTCCACTTGCGTGTTTTATGAAGCAATTTTTTGAAAACTTTTTTTACTTTTTACTTTGTTGTTGAGAATATACACGCAAAACATGTACCAGTTAAACTGTTTGTACATGTCCTGGTGTGACGCTGCAGGATAATGTGCTGGACTGTAAAATTAGTTTGAACCTCAAAGTTGGTGGTTCCAAGTTTACCAGCTGTTCCGAGGAAACCCTGTACCGGGTCACTATGAGTCAGAACAGACTCCATGGCTCTTAACAACAGTATGTGCAATCTAGTGACATTAATTACACTGTGTAGCCATTTGGGCCCTCCATTGTTGCTGTGGTTACATACCGTCAAGTCAGTTCCACCTCATAAAGATCCTGTATAGTTTCCAAGGCTGTAAATTGTTGTGGGATCAAAAAGCCTCATCTCTCTCTCATGGAAATGGCTGGTGGGCTCCAACCACATACCTGTGGTTCAGAGTCCAGTGCTTATCCTACAGAGCCACCACAGTCTGTATGATCTCATAGGTGGTTGTTGGTAAGTGCCGTAGATCTGTTCTGATCCGTAGTGACCCTGTGTAGTGTTTCCATGGAGTAACTGATAGGTTGGAACCACCGACCTTGCAGTTCAGTCCTCTGTCCTGCAGCACCGCACCAGGACAGCTCTTGGAGAGTGTAGTGCTCAGGGCAGATGTTTTTACTAGTTAAGCTAAACTATTATTTGGTTTTATATGACTGTTTAGAAACTATCTGGTTTCAGGGTGTTCCTGTCTTCTTTTGAATCTCCTCTACACTCTTTAATTTTAGGATGCATTTGGATTCCATCCTAAATTAGGTTTACCACAAAGCTGAGCTTTGATTGACACATTCCTCTAAATACGATTTGTGTCGTTTTCATTTTCTCTTTACATATTAAAGATAATTTTGATTATTTGCTCTGGTATTTCTCTCTAATTGCAGGATTCCTTGAGGAAGCCAGAGCGTCGACTGCTCTGTGAGAGCAGTAACCGGGCACTGGCTCTGCAGCATGCTGGGAGATTTTCTGTGAATTGGTTCATTCTCTTTAATGATGCTTTGGTCCATGCCCAGGTAGGTTGAGTCCTTAATTTAAAAGAGATCCTGGCCTGCTGGAGCCATGTAGGTTGGATGAACACCTAAAACTATTGCCTGTAGATGATCTTTGAACGTTAAACCTCCAATCCAAAGCTTTTCTCAAAAGTCCTCTTTGATCTTTGAACCAACTATTGTTTGTTCAGCTTAATTAGTAAAGTTTGCCTACGTTAAGCCTTGTGCTGTTTCAAAGATTGACCTGTGTGGGACTAAATTGGCAGCAGCATCTAAAAAGGAGAGAGTCGAGGAGCAGTGATGACGGAATACTTTGGAAAGGGAGGGAATGTTTAATGGATAGAAATGTGTCCCCCTTACGTATGTGTTATAACCCTTAACCTCTATGCCTGTGGTTGTAATCCCAGTTCAGAGTGGGTTGTCTTTGTTATGTCAGTGAGACCAGTGAGAGATTAGTGTAGGATGTGTCTTGAGTCAGTCTCTTTTAAAATATATAAAAGAGATTAAATAAGTGTTCGAGAAGTAGAGATAGAGGAAGAAAGATACCAACCCACATGAAGTTCACCCAGGAGCACAAGCCCAGAGACAAGAATCTTCCTCCAGAGCTGATAAAGAGAAAACACTTTCCCCTTGGGTTGGCACCCTGAATTCAGACTGCTAACCTCCTAAACTGTGAAAAAATAAATTTCAGTTGGGTAAAACCACTCACTTAAAATTCTAACTGCACTAGAAAACTAAGATTGTTGATGTTAAGTGCCATCAAGTCGTTTCCAACTCATAGAGGGACCCTGTATAGGGTTTCCAAGAGGCAGCTGGTGAGGGTGAACTGCCAACCTTGTGGTTCAAACCAACCTTGCAGTTTAGGGCTTTCTCCCACAGCACCACAGCAGGACTCCAGAAAACGAAAAGATAAATCAGAAGAATGGTTACCCAGCTTGAAGAATGTAAACACTGTCGTTTAATTGTGCATGTCGAATTTGTTGGAAGTGGTATGTATTCTTCTTGTGGTAAATGCCATTGAGTCAGTTCTGTATAATGTTTCCAAGGAGCAATTGTTAGATTTGAACTGCCAACCTTAAGGCTCAAACAGATCTTGTGGTCCAATGCTTATCCTACAGTGCTATATTTTCACATACACATAAAAAGTAAATTAGAAAAGAATAAAAGGTACTAGAAGGCAGAGTAACGAGCCTATTCCACCAATTTATTTAACAACTTACTGTGATTGCTCTGGTAGCGTAGTGGTTATGAATTGGGCTGCAAACCTTAAGGTCAGCAGTTCGAAACTGCCAGCCGCTCTATGGGAGAAAGATGAGGCATTCTGCTCCTATAAAGATTTACAGCCTCAGAAACCCTGTACAGGGTCGCTATGGGTCAGAACCGACTCAACAGCACTTAACAACAATATTGAATAAATGGAGTCAGTGTGGCACTGTGGGATAAAACACTGAACCATACCATCAGCTTGAACCACAAGTTCAGCAGTTCCAACTCACCAGCTGCTGCTTCTTGGAAAACCCTATACAGTGTCACTATGAGTCAGAACCGACTCAGTGGCACTTAACAGTGACAACAGTCGAAGAAAAAAGAATGTTTAGCTACAGCTTGCATTTATAGTACTGGATTTTTAGGCTGGATTCCAGTGACCTTTTTTAGTTTCAAGTCACAAAGGGCGTATCTTTCACAGTCATGTGAAGTGGCCCTTGAAGCAGAGATGGCAAGCCCACTGAGGGCAGCCATTTTCCAGAGGCCATGGGGCAGAGGTGGTGGCACCACAGGGCTTAGCCATTTGAAGACCTTTGTGCTGTGGAGACTGCAGGGCCCATGTGAGATCATAGGAAGAGGATGTGGACTCTGGACTGTCTCAGGCATGTCTCCATGTTCTCTTTCAGTTCTCCACTCACCATGTATTCCCTTTGGCTACACTGTGGGCAGAACCACTTTCTGAAGACACTGGTGGTGTGTAAGTAGCTTCCCTGCTTCTACCCCCTACCCCCAAGTTGTAAGGAAGTTTACCTTTCAGCACAGAGAGGTGTGTTGTGAAGATCAAGACAAGACACAGTCTGTTTCCCTGTGGGCTCTCTATGTAGGGACTAGAAGGGCAGCTCCATTGGTCACCTCCGCATCCTCAGAGTAGAGAAACTCTGTGTCCTTTCTACTATTATGGGAACCAAACCCAGAGCCTAAATGTGTTTATTGTGAATTGATCTTATATTTGAGAATGGATACTGTAATGGTGGTTTGTCATATCTACTGGTGTTTATCCTTGTGAACATTGCAGGAATGGCCTAAAGATTAGTACACCTGAGGAGCAGTTCACGCTCATTTCATCAACGCCCCAGGAAAAGGTTAGTCTTTTACAGTGTTTCCTTTCAGTCTTTGGGTTGAGTATTTCTATCACTGAGGTAGGGAGGAAAGGAGCCCTGGTGACCCTGTGGGATATGAGGTGGACTGCTAGCCAAATGGTTTGTTGAAAACCACCAGCTGCTCAGCAGGAGAAAGATGAGGCTGTCTGTTCCCATAAAGCTTTACAGCCTTGGTAACCATATATAAGGATCTTTTGAGTGGGAATCCGCTCAGTGGCATTGTTGTTTTCTTTGGGTTTGAGTAGTAAAGAAGAAATAAAAATAGTATTTGTTTGATTAATGATCCAAAGATATGTACATTTGACAAATGTTCACTAAACCAAAACTATAGGAGTTTTTGTTTTGTTTTGTTTTGTTTTGTTTAAAGCGATTTAATCCACTTTAAACAATAATGGATTCAAAGAACTAACCAGTATTAAGAGAAAAAAAAGTTAGGAGACAGAAAACAATTGCTGACAACAAGGAACGCTAACAGGATTTAAAGCAGTGCTTAATGAATTGTTGCCGTAAGCTTAATGGCATTTCCTTTTTTTGCTCCTAGACTAAATGGTTACGGGCTATTAGCCAAGCTGTGGACCAGGCTTTGAGAGGGACAGCTGATATTCCACCTTATGGAAGTAGCAGTAGCGTGCAAAGGCAGGAACCACCCATTTCACGCAGTGCCAAATACACTTTCTACAAGGATCCTCGCCTCAAGGATGCAACCTACAGTGGGCGCTGGCTTTCGGGGAAGCCTCATGGCAGGTAAAGATGTCTAAGGTTTATGCCTGGGGGAGGATGATTTGAAATCCCTGAAAAAGTGCTTAATTATCTAAGATACCAGTTGACATGTGCCATTCTTGGCTTATGCATTCCAGAGGGATTTTGAAATGGCCTGATGGAAAGATGTATTCTGGCATGTTCAGGAATGGCTTGGAAGATGGGTAAGAAAATTGTGTAAAGCAAGGGACTGTAAGTACAAGTCCAGTCACAAAATTATACTTTGTGTTTAGATTAGAGTTACTTTGTAAGCATGAGTACATTTGTGCTTTAGTTTGAGAGGTGCATACAATGTATTAGGGCTTAGGGCTTATAATGCAAATATGTTAGCATGAAGAAGGCTAGGAGTTTAGGATGCCAGCTCTGATTTACATGAAACGAATCATTACCTTGATAGTAGTGTGTGTCACATACTTCCAGCTGTTGAAATGGAATTGCGTTTTCTGAAAACTTTGGTTAATGTTGATGGTGAAACTGTTGAAACAATTGTTGTAAAATGCCATCAGTTCAAACCATTAACCCACAGCACCACACCAGTACTCCTGGAAACTAACTGGTGGTGGTGGTGATGGTGGTGTGCCACGGAGTCAGTTCTAACTCACAATCCTACACAGGGTTTCTGACAACCCTGCGTAGGGTTTCTGAGGCTGTAAGTCTTTACAGAAGTAGAAGGCCTCATCTTTCTCCCACGGAACATATGGTATTTTCAAACTGCTGACCTTCAGGTTAGCAGCACAACTTGTAACCACTACACTACCAGATCACCTTCCTTGAAACAGTTGTTGGTGTTGTTAAGTGCCGTCGAGTTGGTTCTGGCCCATAGCGACCCTGTATAGGCTTTCCAGGGAGCAGCTGATGAGCTTGACCCACCAAACCTTGCAGTTCAAACAGCTTTGCAGTCTGGCGTATTAATCCACAGCGCCACACCAGGACACCTGTCTTTAAAACAGTAGTTTCCCCTAATATATTTTCCTTTATGAGAAGGGACTGTAAATAATCTGATTTACCATCCTTACTTTATAGCTTAAAGAGCTGGATATCTGGAAATACCTAACATTGTACATTTAATTAGTGTCAGAAATAAGCCAACAATATAGATCTTCTGGTATTTATTAGACTTGGGATAAAGTACCTTATTTCTGTGTGTAGTTAGGCTGACACGCCACTCTAAGATTTGTCAAACAATTTAGGTTAAGCCAAGACACCATTTATCCCTTTCTTCGTCTCTATCCTTCTTGTTGAAATGTTTACTGGTATATACACATAAAAGGTAAATGTGCCTTAAATGCATCCTTTGATTCTTTTTTTTCTCCATGGCAGGTATGGAGAATACAGAATCCCAAACAAGACATTGAACAAAGAAGATCATTTTGTGGGCCACTGGAAAGAAGGGAAAATGTGTGGTCAAGGAATCTACAGGTAATACCATTAGAAAGTTTGTTGAATTGGTCGATTTTTCAAAGAACCTAATGTGAACCTAAATGTTTGTGTAGCTAAAATTTCCAAGGAGTAAATTTTATTTACTCTTCTAGTGGTGGAAACTGTGTAAGACCTTTTAAATATCAACCTCTCACCTGTCATATGGTGAAAACATTATGTGAACTAATGTGCTGGACTGCAAGATCAGTTTGAACTGCAAGGTTGGCAGTCAAAGCCCCCAACCCCCCCCTGGAAAACCCTTAAAAGGTCAACAAAGGGTCTGAACCAATTTGATGGCATTTAATAACAAGTTGTACAAGCATTATAAATGATAGCTTTCTCACTGTCTCCTAAATGTCTTGTCTAGAAATTTATTTTTATTACTCAACTTTAATAAGGACAAAACCCATCATTCTCCCCTCTCAGAGAAACTTATTATTGTATCTTCCCCGTAAAGGAATTGGTACACGATTTTCCTTCCACATCATCACAAAATATTACCTGTGATGTCTTTGACTACTTAGCCTCTGTCATAAAAGGAAAATGAGATTTTGGTGAAAAATAATCATGGAACAAGTGATTCGGACTGTCAGTGAAGCTAGAGTATATTTTTGCCTTTCTTAAACTTTGAGATGAGAATCAAAGTCCAGTGTGCTTGTGATCTTTACACATTCTGTCTAACCACAGTTATGCCTCTGGTGAAGTGTTCGAAGGCTGTTTCCAAGATAACATGCGTCATGGTCACGGACTCCTACGAAGTGGCAAACTGACTTCCTCCTCTCCCAGTATGTTCATTGGACAGTGGGTAATGGATAAGAAAGCAGGATATGGTGTCTTTGATGATATCACAAGGTACAGTATTCTGCTTCTAATCTCAGAGTTTTATGTGAGAATAAGGTTCCTAGACTTCTCTAACAGTAATGTTTTAAAAAGACTGAGTATCATAATTTAACAGTATCAAGACATTTTTAATAAGACAGGGCTTTGGATGTCATTTTTACTCATTTTCCATGGGCCAAGCAATAGTTTCCTTCTTTACAAAATCAGGGTCATTGCAGTTGCATTGATCCATTTTCCTTAAAACTTCACATATGCAAAGGTGTTAGTGTCTCAGAGAGGCTACTGAATCTTTAACTATTAAACAAAGAAAAGCCTTTAAGGCAATGAATTGAAAGTATGAATGGAAGATGGAGAAACCAATAGAAACTCCCTTTTGGGTTATAAAATGTGTGTGATGCTGTGGATTAATGCACTAGACTACAAAATCCGTTTGAACCGCAAGGTCGGTGGTTCAAGCTCACCAGCTGCTCCTCGGAAACCCTATACAGGGTCACTGTGGGTTGAAACCAACTCAATGGCACTTAACAACAACAGCAACAAACAGGTTTCTGCTTAGGTTTTCCTAAGTAGATCAGAGACTTGTTACCATGCCAGAAACCTAGGAATAAGGCTTAGTTAAGTGCAATTAACCAAACCTTGAAGAATATCGTAGTTTTTAAGCCTCCATATTTGTGTGGTTAAATTTGCTTTGTTGCTCTATAACTTTAAGTTATTTGTATATTAAAATCCCTCCCTTCTTGTGTTACTAATCACTGCTGCTTGCATAATATGAGACATAAAGATTATGGTGTTATCACTAAACTTTATGATTATTTAACAAACAATTTGTAGTACTATTTTGCCTTGGTAATGGAGTTTCTCTACATTTTAGTAAGTGAAAAATGAGACTTGTTTGTAGTAAACCCCATTTTTGTCTCTTAAGATGGTAAAGTTTTGGATAAGAGAAAATTGTATGTAGATATGATTCTGACTATTACATTTTGAATGAAATTATTTAGAGTTGAATTTTTGGCATTCTTGCTTCTTTTTTTCAATGATAGGTTTTTAAAGTTACCAAAGAAGTCCATGGGATAAGTCTTTTGCTATCTCTTTGTCCTATATTTGAGATCTCACATGTGATAGTTTTTTTTCCCCCCACTCCCACTTTACCCTTGCTATCTTTTTTTTTCTTTTCACTTTTTTTTTTTTTTTAAATTTCTACGCAGAGGGGAGAAATATATGGGAATGTGGCAAGATGATGTCTGTCAAGGAAATGGTGTGGTAGTTACTCAGTTTGGATTATACTATGAAGGCAACTTTAACCTTAATAAGATGATGGTGAGTGGAGTATTTCCATGTAGTTACTGTTAACTTTTTTTAAAAAAATCCTCTGTCCCTTTTTGTAAATTAGATCATCAATGTCTTAAACCTATTTAAAACTATTTGTGTGTGTGTCTTTGAAGATGATGTGAGGCCTTGGGGATTTGGATGCATGCACTCAGCAGCTTTGTATTGTATGTCTTGTGATTTTTGTTATCTTTCCTCACAATAGGGAAATGGAGTTTTACTTTCTGAAGATGATACGATCTATGAGGGAGAATTTTCAGATGACTGGACTCTTAGTGGAAAGGTTGGAAACTAACTTTCTTCTTTTTCTCTCCAATGTAATCTTATATTTTTTCTCTCTTGGCTAATTTGTTGTTGCCGTCATCAAGTCGATTCCGACCCATAACAACCCTGTAACAGGGTTTCCGAGGAGCAGCTGGTGAGCTTGAACCACTGACCTTGGAATTCAAATGGCTTTGCAGTCTGGCGCATTAACCCACAGCGCCACACCAGGACTCCTTGGCTAATTTATATGCCATAAAATTTACTTGTTTTGTGTATACAATCCAGTGTTTGTTAGTAAACATGCCGAGTCATGCAACCATCACCGCAAGCCAGATTTAGAACATTTCTCTTACCAAAAGAGATCCCTCAAGCCCACGTGAAGTCACTCCCCATTACCACTCAGTACACTCTGTGAAGAGCTCTGGTAGTGTAGTGGTTACGAGTAGGGCAGCCAACCACAAGGTCAGCAGTTCAAAACAACCAGCCATACCACAGGAGGAAGATGAGGTGTTCTGCTCTCGTAAAGATTTATAGCCTCAGAAACCCTATGGAGGGTCGCTGTAAGTCGGAACCAACTCCAGGGCACACCACCACCACTATCATTCTATCGATTAGATTTTCATGGACTTTTCTTATAAATGGAAGCATAGGATATGTGGAGGGTTTTCTGTATAGGTTCTTAAACTCAGCATAATGGTTTTGAGATTGTTCATATTTTGGCATGTATAGTAAGTGCCCCATTTCTCTTTATTCCAAAGCCACATTTTGTTAATCTGTTCACCAGTTGGTACACATTGGGTTATTTCTAGTTTTAACGTATTTTGAATAATGGTGTTATAAACATTTGAATACAGCTTTTTTGGGTAGACATGGGTTTTATTTTTCTCTTGGATTAGACTCACTGGGTTGTATGGTAAATTGTGATTAACACTGTTGTTGTTGTTGTAAGCGCCATCAAGTCATTTCCAGCTCATGTCGACCTGTATAGAGTATAGAAGAGCAGCTGGTGGATTTGACCGCTGACCTTTCGGCTAACAGTCCAGTGCTTATCCTACAGCCTCTCACCAAGACATATTAAGAAATACCAAATGTTTTTTCAAAGTAGCTGCTCCATTTTGCATTTCTATCAGCAGTGTGTGAGGATTCTTGGTTCTCCACATATTTGTAAGCACTTGTTATTTTCTGTCTGTCTTGTTACAACCATTTTAGTGAGTATAAGGTGGTGTCTTGTGATTTTTGATTTGTATTTTCCTAATGACTAATGATGTGCAGCATGTTTTCATGGGTTTATTAGTGATTCATAAACCTTCTTTGGTGGAATGTCTATTCAAATCTTATATACATTTTGTGTATAGTCCTGTTGAAAGGAGCCCTGTGGCATAGTAGGTAAGTGGTTGGCTGCTAATCCGAAGGTGGCCAGTTCATCCCACCAGCTGCTCCATGGGAGAAAGCTGTGGCAGTCTGCTTCCATAAAGACTTAGCTTTGGAATTGCTATCAGGCAGTTCTGCTCTACCCTAATAGGCTCGCTAGGAGTCAGAATGAACGCAATAGCAACAGGTTTGGTTTTTGGTTTGTTGGGCATATTGGTGGTCTATTTAGTGGTCTTGAGTTGCAAGAATTCTTTATATATTCTAGATTAAAATACTTAATCAAATATATAATTTGCAAATACTTTTCTTGTACTCTATGGTATTATTTTCCACTTATATAATTCTTGAAGCACAAATTTATTTTTTTTAAATTTAATGGAGTATAACTTAGCAATTTTTTTACAAATCATATTTTCAATGTCATATTTACGGAATCTAACTCAAGGTCACTAAGATGTTTTCTGTGTTTTCATCTAAAAGTTGTAGAATTTTCACTCCTAGGTCTGTAATTCATTTTGAGGTCACTTTAGTGTTGGGTGTCAGGTGTCATTTGTTGTTAGGTACTGTCAAGTGGATTCTGGTTCACAGTGACCCTGTGCACAAACACTGCCCCCTCCAGCGTCATCTTCACAATTGTTGTTGACCCCATGGTTACAACCACTGTGTCAGTCTACCTTGTTGAGTGTCGTCGTCTTTTTTTGCTGGCCTTTTACGTTACCAAGCATTATGTTCTACTCTAGGAATTGGCCCCTTCTGAAAACATGTCCAAAGTATGTGATGAAATCTTGTCATCCTCAATTTTCAGGAACATATTTTCTGCCTTACTTCTTCCAAGACAGATTTATTCGCTCCTCTGGCAGTCATGGTATATTTAATACTCTTTGCCAACACCATAATTCAAAGGCATCAATTCTTATTCAGTCTTCTATCTTTTGTATGTCTAAAGGAAATTGAAAGTGCCATGGCTTGGTTCAGGTACACCTTAGTCCTCAAAGAAACATCTTTGCTTTTGAGTGCTTTGCAGAAGTATTTTGCAGCAGGCTTGCTCAGTGCAATACTTTGATTTATTGACCATTGCTTTCATGGGCATTGTTCTTGGATCCAAGTAAAATGAAATCCTTGACAATTTCAATCTTTTCTCCATTTATCATGATGTTGCTTATAGGCCCAGTTGTGAGGACTTTGTTTTCTTGATGTTGAAATGTAACCTGTACTGAACACTATAGTCTTTGATCTTCATCAGTAAGTACTTCAAGTCCTCTTCATTTTCAGTGAGCAAGGTTGTGTCATCTGCTTATTCCAGGTTAAGTAATGATTTCTCTTATTCTGATTCTTCATGTAGTCCATCTTCAGATTATTTGCTCAGCATAAGGTTAGACAAGTTATGGTGAAAGGATACAACTCTGACACACATCTTTCCTGATTTTTAGCCACACATTATCCCTTTGTTCTGTTTGAATGACTGCCTTTTGGTGTGTGCATAAGTTCTTCATGAGCACAATTAAGTGGTATAGACATTCTATTAATTTCAAGGTTACTCATAATTTGTTATGGTCCACACTGTCAACGGGCAGTTGAAGATAACAAAGTACTGTATTATCCTGACATATGCAAAGATCTGGAGTTAGAAATTACACACTCAGCATTTCTCAGTCTGAAAGAACTGAAGAAAACATTCAAGCTTGAAATTGCAATATTGAAGGATTTTATGGACAAATATTGAACATGGAAGGAAGCATCAAAAGAAGTTGGAAGGAGGAATACATAGTCACTGTACCAGAAGAATTGGTCAACATTCAGCCATTTCAAGAGGTAGCATATGATCCGAAAGACGAAGTCTAAGTTGTACTAAAGTCATTATAGAAAAACAAGATTCTAGGAATTTATGGAAAGCTAACTAAAGTGTTGCAACAAACTGATGCAGTGCTGGTAACACTCAGTATTCTATGCAAGAGATGTGAAAAAACAGCTGCCTGGCCAACCAAATGGGAGAAGTCCATATTTGTGCCCATTTCCAAAGAAAAATCACCCAAAATAATGTGGAAATTATAAAAAAAATAATAATAATAATAATATTACATGCAAGTAAAATTTTGCTGAAGATAAATTAAAAAATGGTTGCAGCAGTACATCTACTGGGATATACAATTTCTGGAACTGCCTGAAATTCAAGCTGGATTTAGAATAGGATGTGGAATGAGCAGTATCTTCACTGATGTCAGATGGATCTTGGCTGAAAG